GGCGCTGCCGGTTTAAAGATTAGTGATGTCATTTTCTGGAAAGCTCTCCCCTCGCTCCGTTACCCGACACTAGATGGCGCTAGTGCCAGATGTCAACTTAGCCGCGTAACAGTACAATTTCTTTGATTTTTATACCAAGTTTAATTAATTGAAAAAAAAAAATATTTTTGTAATTCTGTTTTTTTTTCTTTTTGCCGATGAGCATGTAGTGTGTGCTTATATTATATGTAGGATAGAATAAGAGAGAGTTAGTAATAAACCTACATTCAAGACCAGTAGACGTATTATTTATTCCCCGAACCTCCCGACATTACACCTGCCTCAATTCGAGACCCCTTTGTGTATTGTCAGAAGACCTGGACGACATTAATTATTTAACGTCAGCTCACTTCTTGTCCAGCGGACCTATTCTTTCGATCATTGAGACAGAAACACACGGGAGAATTAGATGGCAGCTCACGCAAAACATATTCAGCGACATTTGGAAAGGGTGGCGTTGCTTAATATTTGGTTCAGTTTTCAGCACGAAGCAAATGGCGTGAGTCACGGGAAAACATTAAAATTGACGATGTTGTGGTGATACACGACGCTAACTTACCCCCTGGTAAATGGGCTTTAGGTCGCGTGATCGAACTACACCCCGGTACCGATAATCTGGTCCGAGTCGTCTCAGTCAAAACACGAAAGGGTTCTGTTATCAAAAGACCTGTAATTAAGTTATCGATCCTACCAGTTAACATAGATCAGTCAAACAAAAATAGCGAAACAACAACAATAAACGAAGCATCAACAAAAAATAAAAGGACACAAAGCGGCGATGGGGACCGCCACCCGTCACGCACAGCCCGACATGGCGGAAGGTGGAGGACGGAGTGCAGAGTTGGTACGTGGAATGTTAGAGGGGGCTTGAGAGTGAAATTAAAGGTCTCCGTTTGAATGCTAATAAAACTAAGGTTCTGGTATTTGAAAAGGACGAAGAGAGAACGAAATGTGAAATATGGGTAAATCAGGAATGTCTAGAACAGGTAAATGAAATTGTGTACTTGGGGAGTGCTTTCAGCCGGGATGGAAGATGTGATTTAGATGTGGATAGGCGTGTCGCTGCCGGAAATAAAGTCAATGGTGCCCTGAATGCATTAGTCAAAAGGCAAGGCGTGGTGAAGAGTGCACGCCTTGCATTACATAACGCAGTGTTAGTACCGACTTTGTATATGGCAGCGAAACCTGGGTATGCCAGAAGAAGCATAAAAGCAAGTTGAATGCAGTGGAAATGCGATCTCTTCGTAAAATGTGTGGCGTTACCATAGCCGACCGAAAGCGAAACGAAGAGATTCGCAATATGGCAGGATTGAAAGATGACCTGATTACAAAAATTGATAGGGGCGTACTCCAATGGTTTGGGCACGTTGAGCGAATGAGTTAAGACCGAATGGTGAAGAAAATATATAGAGCGAAAGTAAATATTAAAAGGTGTCGAGGTCTACCGAGACTAACTTTCGAAAACCATGTGAGCAAATTGCTCGAAGAGGGGAAGGTCAAGAGTACTCGGATACCTAGACGTGCGTGTATGAAGAAGTTAATGAACCTGAAAGAAGCGAAAGAGGTATGTAAGGATCGTGACACTTGGCGATCTGTTCTCTCTGGCTACCCCGTTAGGGATTGTGCGTGAAGATAAGTAAGTAAGTAAGCACAAACACCGAGGAAAAGTTTTTATATAAACTTCTTATCTATTTTTATGACACTTTCTCTGTTCATAACTTCAACTGTGCATGCAAACTACAACATCACAAAACTGAGTGATAACAAATACATATTTATTGAAAAATTGGGAAGTATGCGATTAGTACAGGATCATTGGAAATTAGTTATTTACTACCACATGCAACCCTATTGGTACGGAAAAAGGATATTTAATTCATATTTAGATCATCTTCAAACATTATGCACTAAATCGGAAAGAAACACGCATTGTGACAATATTATATTGCAACAGCTGATACATGGGTTCACCGAATTGGAGCATTATGACCGCATGTTACTCAGTCATCATTTTGATAGTCGGAAACGCGCGCGTCGAGGCCTTATCAATGGTGTCGGCTACATCGCTAATACATTGTTCGGCGGTCTAGACGAGCGGTTTGCGGCCCAGTACGAAAAAGATATCAAGTTAGTTCGGAGTAATCAGAGACATTTAGCACAACTTTGGAAAAATCAAACATCAGTTATAGAAGCGGAAAATAATATTTTGAAAAGAATCGAGAACACAATGGAAAAGCAATATATGTAAGATATTTAATTAGCATTTAAATAATTTAGAAAAAATATCGAATACAGTGAAAGCCGAAATTTCTAAGATAGAAATCACAAACGACTTCATCATGTTAAGCATCATAGCGAATAATGTCCTTTCAAATCTGCGTAATATCCAAGATTCCTCCTAGATACTGTAACGCTTCCCCCCTCTCTCATATAATAAATATATTAGATATAATTAATTTACCCCTTTTCGATAAAAATTATAAATATGTGACCAAGATAATTAAGATATGTTTTGATCTTTCTAAATGATCTTTCTAAAGGTTTAATAATAGGCCGTTTGTAATATTTTTGGCGTGATCGTCTTAGTTAGGACCCTTATTTACGTTGTGTTTGTTTAGTAACTTAGTTCTTTTAGGTGTCTTTTGGAAGAATGAATATTCGCTAGAGCAATTGAAAGCTGTTGGTAGTGCCTTATAAGCTAAGTGAACCCCGTTCACGAAGACAGGGCTCGAGAAAGGTTAAGAACATAAAACCTCCCAATTCCACTTGCATCAGGTTTACATTATTAATTTAATATTATTTATCCCTTCCCGCTCGGAAAAGGCTCAAAATATATTTATACAAAATACCCGATACAAGAGCTTCGCTCTCCTACATTTATTAAAAAAAATGTAGGGGAGGCTCCACACACGCCGTGCACGGTGAGCGCCAACCATTTTGATGCACTCCCCCCGAAGGGAAAGCTAATTCGGGAACTGGACCGTAGTCCAGCACAGCAAAATAACTAGCGAACCAGTAAAAGAGGCTTGGCCCCTTGCTAGTGCGTAAGCACAAACATCGACCGAAGTCGCGCATGTCAATGCGTGTAAACGCCAAACAGAATACGAACGAATCCAGCCACAGTGAATGTACGTCACACGGTTTAGGCAAATAAGCACACTGGCCGTAAACCCTCCGTGAGCGCCACCAGCTGCCAGACCGCCGCTCCTGCAGACGTGATGTAAGTGTATGGCATCACCACCAATTGCATGATCAGCACGGCTACTAGCCGCAGAGCATGTCATGAGTCTACCGCTCACCTCAAGGGAATGGGGTCCCACGTTGTGCGGCTTTCGGCCGCAGCCTTGAGAGTCTCCTCAGATCCTCCCGCCAGCTACCACCCGCATGAGGTCGACACATATGCTCCACCAACCAATACAATGGCAGATATAGCCAAAAGGCAGTTATAAGATAAGAGTAATAATTCGCCATCAGAAAGGGTTTGTGTCACTGACGTTGAGTAAATATATTTTCGATCATGTTTGTCTCACCCACCAACAAGTTGCCTTCAATCATTCAAAGGTGGGAAAGCTACAGAGATATAATATTATGTTGTTATATAAAACATCGTGGAGGGCAGACAGTCTGCAGCCCCGCAATGAAGGGACCCGACTTGGGCAAAGCTACTTAGGTGTGAGTCAAACCAAGACGCAGAGAGCGCCATTGAGAATAGCGTCCCACCAAACAAACATCGCAGAGACGCAATGCTGCAGAACGCAACAAGCATCAATACGACTATCGTCGGGCTTACACCATTCCAAGGTCCCCCATACATCCCAGCAGACATCACCACCCGTATACCTCCATCGACCAGAACCACAAGAGAGCGTCGAATCAGGCGCAGCACACCCGTAGATCCATCACAAGACGTAATACCGCAAGTAGCAGTAAGCATCAATGCAACTATCATACGGATGGCGCCCCCTCACAACACACCCAACATGATCCCTATCGACTTTGGTAACAAAGTTTTTATTGTTGTTATATAAAAAATATCACCAACGTATCATAGTAGCACGCTACTAAGACGCCAATGAACAAAACTCCACGTATCATAGCGCTAATGCACTAAGACATGAAGTTGAGTATGCCTGTTACACTTAAAAGTGCTACCAAACACACTCATCATCCCAATCCGAAAGATAGACGACGCATGGCTATGCGCTACGACGTCGCCCACAAACGGTATGGGTGTGCGATGTCCACGGGAAAGCCGTATTGCTACAACAAACCCGCTTACCACCGGCACTAAGATGATATGTCTAGGACACATCGGTTAGCGAGTCCAAGTTTACCTCGGACCAATTGCTCGTGAAGCAGCACACACGCCACCATAATATTCCTTTTCAAGTCCCTAATAAGGACTAGTCATTTTGCTACAGTACTAGGAGCAGTCGGTCACCCAACCACTCCATACAATGCTTATGCATCAAGGAGACCTTCTATAATATTGCTTTTGTATCATAGACCTTACTTACATAAGTCATTAATATATAGGATTCGAACCCACGACCCTACTATTGTAATGCATATTAATCATAGAGACCTTCTATAGTATTGCTTTTGTATCATAGACCTTACTTACATAAGTCATTAATATAAAAATAAATATAAAAAAAAAAAAAAAACCACCCCCACAAACATAGGCCTCCCCAGTATGCCACAAAGCACGGCTCGAGACCGCACGACCCTCCAACTATTGTAATGCATATTAATCATAGAGACCTTCTATAGTATTGCTTTTGAGTTATCATAGACCTTACTTTCATAAGTCATACGGCAAATATTATATATATATATAATAATATATATATATATATATATATATATATATATATATATATATAATTCATCAAAACATTCGTAGTATCAACAAAAATTTTTATGAATTTATCTCTATGATGAGTATGACTCAGGTGAACATGGATATCTTGGTCTTTACCGAGTGTTGGCTTAAATCTGCTATAACAACTCCTCATCTTGATGGTTTCGCGTCTTTGGCCACCCGTAATAATCCTATACAAAATGATGGAGTCGTTATTTATGCAAGGCTAGATCTTAACTGTAAAATTTACGAGCCAATCCTTAGTGAAGCAAATTGCCTTGTGTGTTACACCAATGACACGGCTGTTATATGTATTTACCGTTCTCCATCATACGCAGACATCAACATTTTTTTGATCAGCCTGGAAAACTTGATATCCACGTTGAGCTCCCATAACAATATAGTTTTAATGGGAGATATTAACATTGACGTTAAGGATGATAATCATGATAACCGCTCCCATGAATACCTAAATTCTCTAGCCATGCTAGGTTTTTTACCAGCTCATAATAAGCCGACTCGTTTAGAAAACTGTCTCGATCATATTTTGCTGAAAACCAAGCTGGATGCATGTGTTTTAATTCTTGAAACTGCAATAACTGACCATGTACCTACTCTTCTGTTACTATATAAAAAGCATAAATGGATACATCATGCCGCGAAAACCAAGAAATATTTAAACTTTGTGGAAATCAAACGCGAATTAGATAATTACGACTTTGAAGTCGTTTTGAAAGAATCAGATCCTAATATTGCAACTAATATATTTATAGATATCGTGGGCTGTATTATAAAGAAACATTCCTCAGTTAAAATCATTTCAAGAAAATTTCGTACAGTCAAACCCTGGATGACACCCGGTCTCATCCGATGCATCCGAAATCGTGATTCTTTGCATATAAAGGCTAGAAAGTTGCAGGACAATATCACCATACAAATTACATATAAAAGATATCGTAACTTTCTACAAACTTTATTGAGAAAAGGTAGGTCAGAATATGAAAGATGTGAATTCCTTAAGGCAAAAAACAATATCAAAGAAACATGGAACGTCATTAAAAATATTACGAACACAAAAAAGATTAAAGAGTCTGCTAAAGATCTTTTAAGTTGTCACGGTAGCGCTAAGGCGACGTTAAATACTATAAACTCACATTTCGTTCAAGTCGGCAAAAAGTTGGCCTCCAAAATATCATGGTCCTTAGATGATTCTCCTCCCATGTCATCTTCATCTAACAATAGCACATTTGTACTATTACCTGTTGATGAGCTACAAGTAGAAAATATCATAAACTCTTTGAGGAATAATTGCGCCGTTGGATGGGACGGAATACAATCTGACGTTATTAAATTACCATGCAAAGCGTTAACCTCACCTATAACGCACATTTGTAATACCTCAATTTCAACTGGGGTATTCCCTGAACTAATGAAGAAAGCTGTAGTCCATCCTATATTTAAATGTGGGGATAGGCATCAAGTTACCAACTATAGACCAATATCGGTTCTCAGTTCTCTATCTAAAATTCTAGAACGCATTCTTAATAATTCTTTGACTGATTTTCTTAAGAGATTCAACATCATTGCCGAGAACCAGTTCGGTTTTAGACCTGGTGTTTCTACCGAAGACGCTGTAATTGAACTTTCCCAAACAATAACTGCTAAGCTAGATGAGAAACAAAAATGCTATGGCATTTTCCTTGACCTCTCTAAAGCATTCGATACCGTGTCTATCCCCATACTGATTTCTAAATTGGAATGTATCGGCATTCGTGGTCTGCCCCTTAGTATTTTCAGAGGATTATCTCACTGGAAGGACCCAATGCGTAAAAATTGATGATAACTACAGCGACGAGGAGCATATAGAGTTTGGCGTGCCCCAGGGCAGCATTTTGGGCCCCACGTTCTTTTTAATCTACATCAATGATCTGTGTAGATTTAAGCTAGATAATTGTCGGATCTTCACCTATGCTGATGACACGTCCTTAGTAGTTTGGGGTGTAGATTGGATTCGTGCCAAACATTATGCAGAAAAGGCTATAGTAGAAGTTATGCTTTGGTTATCATCATATTTACTGACCCTCAATATCGCAAGGACACAACTTATACGCTTTGATCTATCTAAGACTGCGCCAATTTCTGAAAATGTAAATTCTATCAAGGTCCATCTGTGTTCTTTGCAAGACGCAGATTGCAATTGTGTCTCACTCTCTGCCAAGCCCCAAACTAAATATCTAGGCATCTATATTGACGAAAAACTTAGTTGGTATGAACATGTTAACGCGCCTTTGCAATAGGATCAGAAGGTTAATTTATATATTTAAGAATCTTCGCCACTCTGCAAATGTACCTTGGATACCTTGAAAATGGTTTACATGTGCCTATGCCAATCCATTATAATTTACTGCATACCAGTTTGGGGTGGTACCCATAAAACTACAATGCTACACCTTGAGAGGGCACAAAGAGCAGTGCTCAAGGTTCTGATGAACAAACATAGGATGCACCCTACTGTTGACCTCTACAAAGAGTGTAATGTTCTAACAGTGAGGCAATTGTTTGTTCTTCGCACAATGCTTCGGAAACATTCACAACTTCCTCTAGACTCTAATATCCTTAAGCGACGTATAAGTATCCCTGTGTGTCCAGTACCTTTATGTAGAACAGCTTTCGCAGGACGTCAGTATAATTCAATCAGTTGTCGTTTATATAATAAGATTAATAAGTCGTTAAATATATACAAAATCAACAAACATGAATTAAAATCTAAAATATCAATTTGGTTAAAGTCTCTCACATACGAAGATACGGAAAATCTCGTCACGAAATATGCACCACACTTAAACACTAAACATACGTAATAATAATTTATCGTTACGTCAAAATCATTACCTCATAATCACTCAGCTCCAAACACAACACACACACACACACACACACACACACACACACACACACACACACACACACACTCGCACGCACACACGCACGCGTGTATTTTTTTTCTTGTGTATTTCATACTTGTATAATATATATATTTTGTAAACTTGATAGTAAACTGTTATCTTTATCAGTTAAAATTATTGAATACTGCTCTGTACTTAAATCCTTGTACTATGTTTTGGGAGAAGACCCTGACATTTAAGATACAGGCTTTGCCTAGTTTAGATGTCAGTAGCTTCATATAAATTGTAGAAGTACTTAACTGTAAGCTTCATTTTGTTATACTGTTGTTATCGAGTGTACTTTGACTTAAAGATGCAATAAAGATTATTATTATTATTATTATATTATAATATATAGGGTTCGAACCCACGACGCTACTATTGTAATGCAAATTCATCATGGAGACCTTCTATAGTATTGCAATATAGGACTAGTCATTGTGCTACAGTACTTCAGGCAATCGGGCTCCCGACCACCCCATATATATGTACAACTGCAGGAATGTATCTCCGGCAGCTCCTCTATACAAGACATCCATACATGAACACCTTCCATAACTTAAGAAAATTTTCTTTACATGAACTCCTTTCACGACTTAGACAATTTTCAACAAATTTTCTAATTATCTTATAAATGTTATTTATCTTTATTTTTATAATATTTTCGACTTGTATTCTATTTCTATTAATTATCTTATTTTAAATATTTTTTTCAAGTTTTTAATAAATTTATTTATTATGGAAGACAATATTTTGCCTTTAATTTACTATGTTATTGGTCTAATGTCCGAAATGTATTTATATTAACTTTATGGTTATTAATGTAATTTTATTGTTTAATATATATCTTTTAAGACTATTTTTGACGCCCCTTTATATTGAATTTAATTATTAATAATAATATTGGGCCGTCACAATACCATCACCAACCTTCAACATTTTAACGTTCATCTGCTGTCACCGACCCAGCTGGAAGACGAACTAAGCGTAATATCGAGCAAACTATCAAATGATTTGTCATTACCAATAGATAGCACCCAGAGTAATTTATCCAACCTATACAAAATTTTGAGGGTCAAAGCTAGAATGGAAAACCAGTATTTCATTTTTGAAATTCAAATCCCCCCTCACTAATAGAGATGACTATGACATTTACAATGTTTATCAACAAGTTGCTAACTCATCACTCACTATGATAAACCTGGTACCGATTGCAGATCACGTAGCCATAAACCTGAAGAAAGATACGTTCATACCTGTGACTTACAACGACTTTCAGAACTGCATAGAATATAATAACAATGTTTATTCGGATTATCTTTGCCAGCTTCAAACGCTCGTCTACGAGAGACAGACGGACGAGAGCCTTTGTATTAAAAACAAACAATCAAATACTTGTAAAATTATCAGCAGCGCGTGTCAGACCACATGGCGAAAGCTTACAAAGCTAAACACGTATAATTAATTGTCGCGGTCAATGTACCTTCCGATTCATATGTCAAGTTCGAGTTACCGTAGAACAGGTGACGGGAGTAAACATAATAATTCTCGGTACAGACTGCGTCATTCGGGGTAATACGTTAGTAATTACGCCTCATAAACAAATGACAAATGAGATTAATATCGAGTCGGTGATCTTTGCACCAGAAATCGCGCCTGTCAATAACATATTCAACATATCGATACCCATCAATACGATCAACATTACGGAGGATTTCGGGCAAGCTATAGAAAATATCGACCGGCAGATTAAAGAGTTAAAGTCAGCTTCGGACGGCATAGCCAGCGAGACGAACAGCCTCGACTATCATGATGTCCATCACTACGCCGCTATCTATTCACTGGTGGCGGCAGGACTAGCAGCAGCGTGCGTTGCGTGGGTGCGCGCGAGGTGGAGACGCCCCGCCCGCCCTGCTCCAACCAGCAGTCAGCGCGACACCAGCGTACAGTGTGTGTGTTTAAAAGATGTGAAGAGTGAAAGTGAGTGTGTGAAAACAGAACAAAGTGGTCATTGTGCAAGTGTATCCGATCAAGATAATCAAAGTGTGCTTAATCAATCAGTGAAAAACTCGCTAGATAATGTCGTGCAATCATCTTATAAATTAGCCGATAAGTGTTATGTCGGTCTCATCTATGTTTTAGTTTAGCTCATCTTATAGTCATCTCGCCCATCTTCTCGCCCGGGAGCATGTACGGTGCAACCGCACATATCGCCCGATCATCATTTTCGCTTCATACACTTATTTTTATTGTTCATCGAATCAGTTCACATAGAATCACCACACAGCGCGTTCGTGTACTCATCCTTAGCTATTATCGGTTTTTAAATATATTTTATGTTTTACCTCAAGCAGCATACTTTATTTATATCATCAGCAGCAGCATTTTAAGGTGTAACGTACAACGCCAATTAAAACTTAAAACACTAATAATTAATCACACTGATTCACTTTATTTCACTCTGAAGCTTCGCTTGTCTCGCTAAATTCAATACTGCACCGATCGTGGCTTTGCAGCGGCTTTAAATACACCTTTTACACCGAAACATCCAAAATATTCTAGTAAATAAGGGTGCCGACCGACCAGACGCAGAAAGTTCGAGTGTGGGGCTTCTAGAAAGCTTAATTCTTCTGTTCAATACTAGATGGCGCTGTTGGTTGAAAGTTCAAGATTGACATTTTCTAGGTAGCCCTCCTCGCTCTGGTCCTCGACACTAGATGGCGCTAGTGCCAGGTACCTCACGTCAACTTAAGCGCGCAACAATATTAACAAATGACTATTTTTATTTATAGCTCAGACATGTTCTTGGTTTGATATTATTATTGTTTACCTCCTGTTCTACTTTTATTGTATATTTTGCATTGTTTACATTTTTCATAATAACTGTATGTAAATATCACGAACACTACTATTTACACAAGCTCACACTTCAAACATCACACTCATAAACATAAAAATTAATCACTGTACTCTTTTACATGCGTATCTTTTAACGACTTTCCGAAAAAATTACTGTTCTTTTAACGAAAATTAAGAATAAAAGTTAATAATTTAAGTTCACTCCCGATCGAACATAAAGAAAATATTTTTCAATATTTTTCTTATTACAGTAACTTTGGTGAATATTCCTTTTATGCAATTCTGAGTATTACTCGTAAAATTGTTTGTTACCAGACTGGTGGGAACGAAAGCCCTTTCTAAATAATAATGGATAGTTTGCTGCAAACCAAACCAGATATAGATATAGACAATACTGAAGTTGCTCAGGCCTTTACGTGCAAGCCTGAGGATTGCCACTCTCACATAACTACATTTAACCACTTAACCAACATCTTACTCAAAACATAAGGAGTATTTATAAAAAATTTGACATATTTCAAGTAACGTTGGACTCAATAAACATTCATTGCGACATACTGGTCAGTATCATCTTTCAAAAACCCATTCCATCACTTAATAACGACTATAA